ACGACCGCCCGCCCTGAGTGGTTCCCGGCTCCTGTTCCGGCCCGGGCTCCGGTTCCGGCTTTTGGTGAGTCGAGACGACGACGACCTGTCATGTCCGTCATCCCGGCAATGGTCGCGACGGCCGTTCCGGGGGCTCCGGCTCCGGCTCCGGCGTTGGCGCGAGTGCCAATCCCCGCGAGCTCTCCCACCTTCGTTACCCTGCACCCGACCCCCGCGAGCTCTCCCACCATCGTCACGCCGCGCCCGACCCCCGCGAGCGCTCTCACCATCAGACACGACCGAACCTTGTGTGCCCCACCGGTCCTTCCTCGAAGCTTTGGTCGACGCCGCTTGGTTCCCGTAATGTTTGTCGTTGTGCCGGGGAGTAACTTGCTGCTGTAGGCGTGAGTCCTTTCCGATGGATCTGGCAAACGGGTTCTGGTTCGGCCCAGTAACGAGAGAAGAGCCCTGCTGGTCCTCCTTGAAAGTTGCGCGCCTGAGTGCGGTCAAAAGGCGGATAAGGTCGGCACGGCGGGGGGGGGGGAGTGTTCCCAGATACCAATCATTGAAGACGCACGCGAAGGACGCCCTGGAGTCCGGGAAGGAAGGACCGGCGGTGCCCTGTGCCGCCGATAAAATCCAGCGAGCCTCGTGTTCGTCCTCTTGGTGAAAGAAGATGTCTGCCGCTGGCGTATCGAGGGGGCGACCGAGAAAGGCAACGTCGGCAGCAAGGAATTGGTAGTAGAGCGGGGATGTGGCAGCTGACCGTGGATTGTCGAGGGTGACCTCAAAGCTCGTAGCAGGTCGTGGATGCGTCGATGCTGCCTTCTGAGACGGCGACACGTCGGGGCTGGGCGAACGCGGAGAGGTGACGACCCGGCGAGGAGCAGAGGAGGCAGGCAACACGGAGGGGGGGGGGGGGGGGTGAGCGGCCGAAGTCTCGACGGGGCGAAGACGATTCCTCCTCTCTTCGAACTCGTGGCGAGCCTTCACCGTGTCGATGTACAGTTGCCTCCTGGCCGCTCGCCGCTGTTCTATCGCGCGCCTCTCCGCTTCCTCGCGCTCCCGCTCCCGTTGCACGGCCCGCGCAGCTTCTTCCTCCCTCTCCCGCTGAGCTGTTAGCTCCCGAGCCCTCCGAGCGGCCTCCTCTTCTCGGGCCCGTTGCTCCGCGTCCTCCGCCGCCTGGTCGAGCTCAGCCTGCAGCCGCTGGTTGAAGATGGTCTGAAGTTGTGTCCACGCGTCGGCTTCATCGTTAGACATCTCCACGAACTCCTCCTCGTCTAGGTCAAAGTCAACAGTGGGGACGGCAAGGGGGTGGGGGGAGGAAAGGCGGGCCGCGTCCACAATGTCCCGGAGGGTGATGCTGCCAGAGCGGTAAGCTGCAGCCAAAGCCTTGGGACGGGCCGCCTCGATGTCGCGAAGAAGGCCCTGTCCATAGACTTCACGACGGTCCGGGTGAGACTGGGATGCGTCCTCCACCTGTGAAGACTGGGACGCGTTCTCCACCTCCTCTTCTTCAAAGTCCATCAGCTCCTCCGACTTCTCCTACATTTCTGCTTCTGAAAGACAAGCGAGAGAACCGGGGCATTCCCGATCACGAGTAGAAACAGCAATGGCGGGGGCCACGGCGGTGGGGGCAACAGCAGAGCCCGGGACAGCAGAGCCAGGGACAGAAGACGCGGTAACAGTGGGTGCAACGGTCGGAGGGTCCTGCCTGGGTCCAAATGGAAAGCGAATATATCCGCAAGAGAGCGCAGCCAGCAGGGCTCTAAAAAACGTCCAAGCAGTTTCGTTAGAATATCATCGCCCGTAGCTATCGCTCAAGTTCTTGTTCAGCTCAATCCGCTACGTGGCTGCGGAGATATCGTCGGAAATGGGGGTTCCGCAGCATCACAGGGAGGGTCCCCTCAGGTATCAGGCCATATCTCAGCCCACAGGGCTTCAATCGTCGTAAAGCTGACTTCGATAGGTAGTCACGGCCCGCAGCGATCGCGCAAGTACTTTGACATCTCATTCATTCGACTCGGTGGTTCTGGAATTACAGACTCAGGAAGGGGCGCAGCAGTATCGTGAGCTCGGTATAAACCTCCAAACGTGGTCTAAGTCGACCCAATGAGCGCACAGCAGCCCAGAACTACTCAAGCTGCCTTGCCACGACCCGCAGCTATCGTCAGAGCCGTCGATGACCTCGATCGGACCTGTGTCAGCCGAGATATGCTTACCCACGGGTTGACGGTGTCGTAGATAAGGTTAACTACGACATCACCCGCATCTCGGCGCACAGAGCGTGAATCAACGTAAAACCGACTCGAATGGGTTCACGCCATCCTCAGCTATCGTGCAAGCCGTTTCTTGGCTAGATCAGCCCGGTGGTTGCGGGGATACGACCACCCACTGGGGTCCGGCCGCCCCGAGAGTGGTGTCGTAGTTAAGCGCATAACTACAACACCACTCATTTCTTCGACCAAAGTCCACGACTCGACGCCAAACGATTCGCGATGTGTTGCTAGAAGTAGCGGGCGTCGTTGGAGTCGGTGGCGGGTGAATTTCATCCGGTGTGTTAGGTGGAACGCCTACATCCGAGGGCTACGGCGCCCTGGGGGATGGTGTCGTAGATAAGATTAGATACGACACTACCCGCATCTCAGCGCACAGAGTTTCAATGACAGTAAAACCGAGTTTATCGGAAAGCCACGATCTTCAGCTATCACGGACGCTGCTACTCGGCTGCATCGGTCCGGTGGCTGCGGAGATACCGTCACCCGCAGGAGTCCGGCCGCCCCGAGAGTGGTGTCGTAGTTAAGCCATATCTACGACACCACTCATTTCTTCAACCAATGGCGACGAATCGACACCAAACTATGTGTGCTGTGTCGCTAGAGGTAGCGAGTGTCGTTGGAGTCGGTGGCGGGTGAAATTCATCCGGTTGGCGCAGAGATACGCCTATATTCGGGGTCCACGGCGCCCCCACGTGCCATGTCGACGTACTAGCTATTCTCGGATGTGCGTCTAGGAGGAATGTACATGTCCGATGTAACAGGCACATGGGCGATATGGGTGAAGAGGGGAGCGGGGAGTTGCCCTGGACAGTCTCGAGACGGTATTCGGCGTACACGTGGCTCCACCNATATCTACGACACCACTCATTTCTTCAACCAATGGCGACGAATCGACACCAAACTATGTGTGCTGTGTCGCTAGAGGTAGCGAGTGTCGTTGGAGTCGGTGGCGGGTGAAATTCATCCGGTTGGCGCAGAGATACGCCTAAATTCGGGGTCCACGGCGCCCCCACGTGCCATGTCGACGTACTAGCTATTCTCGGATGTGCGTCTAGGAGGAATGTACATGTCCGATGTAACAGGCACATGGGCGATATGGGTGAAGAGGGGAGCGGGGAGTTGCCCTGGACAGTCTCGAGACGGTATTCGGCGTACACGTGGCTCCACCCCGCCAAAACGTCATACATTGATAAGTTTAGTTGAGGGCTAAAGAGAGAGTTGAAGTCACGGTGTTGCTACCGACGGCACAGAGGAAGGTCGCCTCGCGTTGCCGGCCTACAAAATGGGCACCCCAACGACCAGGCTTTGGAGAGGATGTTGACAGACATTGCGTGCAAGACTAACATTGTATTCAACGCTAACGACCAGGTCCGACACTCGGTTAGCTGCGCCTGCATAACGTAGGTAAACAAGAACGCCCCAACATAAACACGGCCCAGCGAAAAAAATAGCAAATGACAGAAAGTTAAACGGAAAATCGCGCAGACAGATAAGGCCAAACAGCACGCATAGCGCGTACTTTCTCGTGTGCAATTCCAAACATCAGGCTTAGCCTGCAACGTCCGCTGGTAGCTGTGCAGCGTTAGCACTCAAGAGGTGATATGGACTGGCAACGCCGGGAACGAGATGACAAAGGCGGCACACGATTCGATGTGTTCCGGCCGTTGATTTGTTACTAGGGACTACGTGTTGTACGCTACCACGTTTTCTCTTTGGTAGGCCGACGGGTCTTTGCTCCAGACCCAGCACCAGAGACGTCTTTGATCCTCTTTTCCCTCCGGCTCTTGTCCCTCCACCCTTCCGGGTTTCCGACTGGTTGAACAGACCCGCTGTCGACAGGCGCACCGTTGTCATCGTGCCGGTCCTGCTTTGATCCCTCCGACTTGGATTTCTTAGGCCTCCCTTTCGCTTTTACCTGCGCTGCATTCCCGCTCTTGTTCTCGCCGGTAGCTTCGGCAAGCTGGAACCTCACCCACTTGTCCAGTTCAGCCTGTACTCCAAGGCTTTGGCGTGTGGAACCGTCTTCATTATTCGGTGACGTTTTCCTTGTTCTTGACCATCAGAGTCGCGAACACGCGGCAATGGTCACTCGCCGATCGTTCCGTGGCTGCTTTTGCCGCACGTTCTGCGGGGTGCACGCCGCCCTCCCCTCCGCCGTCGTCGTACGTCGGCCCGCAGAAGTTGTCGTCTTGGCCGTGGTCACATCCATCCTAGCCGTCGCCGTGCCCTGCCCCTTCCAACACTCCGGAGACGGTCCAGGGCACGTCGCTGCCGTCTGGTGATTGCCACCAGCGTGTGTGCACGCTGTTGCAGTCGAACTCGTGGTCAAGCAGGACTCCCGTACTTGCCGCCGATGAAGCGAACTAGCGCGGCAAAGTAGTGCCTGCATTGTAGGCCGTGGCGCAAAAGCTTCAGACAAGAGCACAAGTAGAAGCCACCCGGGCCGAATACCACAACATGGCCCGGCCGTGAAGGCGTGAGCTTGTACCGCACGGCGGCGGAAAGATGGACGGGAACTCGGCTGACGAGGTGCAACAGCGCCTCCAAAGACGTACGCGCCCAAACGGTGTTGTCTTCGGTCGATTCAGCCTCAGGGCCAAGCTTGCAGTCGATTTCCAGGTCAGCGTCGGGCGGCGCTTCCTCGCAAAGGTTGAAGTCGAAGTGTGCGGCCTCAAGCTGTTGACGCAGGACACCACCCTCCAGAGGTACGGGGTGACCTTCGTCGTCCGCCGCTCCTACGCAGATGACTTCTACGTCGTACGACTGGGATCCTCCGAGCTCGTCCTTAGCCTCCAGCAGAGTGCAGTGGACAGGGGCGCACTGTGATGTGGTAGAGTTGCTTCCCCGGGAAAACAGTACGGTACGCGCCAGGAAGGGGTTCCAAACGGGTAGATGTATCGACTGCGCACATCTTACTGTCTTGCGCACGGGGAAACGTGGATGTTCAACTTACAGACGGCAGNTACGGGGTGACCTTCGTCGTCCGCCGCTCCTACGCAGATGACTTCTACGTCGTACGACTGGGATCCTCCGAGCTCGTCCTTAGCCTCCAGCAGAGTGCAGTGGACAGGGGCGCACTGTGATGTGGTAGAGTTGCTTCCCCGGGAAAACAGTACGGTACGCGCCAGGAAGGGGTTCCAAACGGGTAGATGTATCGACTGCGCACATCTTACTGTCTTGCGCACGGGGAAACGTGGATGTTCAACTTACAGACGGCAGGGATAAGAAGGAAAAAGGAAACCGGAAAACTCTCCGAATTTATCACCAATTGGCAGTATTGGCTGGCGCCAACACTTTCGACCTCCTCCCGGATCGGGGCGAGAAACCCCTCCAAGTGCTTCGTCTGAAAAGCCAACTCCGCTTTCACGGCTGGGCTTGCAACCCTGGACGAACGAGGTCAACCGGAATGTCCGCAAGTGAATTGCACTCCTGTGATCTTCCGCTTCGGAACGAAGTTGAAGGCGTGCTATGGCAACCTCTCGTCAGAGCTCACAGTCGAGGAGGCCTCAACTGAGGACTTGATCTTCGACAATTACTTTCGCCGCAGATGTCACCGAGGCGAACAACGCGCGCCCAAGTGCACCGTCGCACGTTGAAGTAGTAAAAGCGGAGTTTGCACCTCTACAAGTCCGGGTTCAGTTCATCTCACCTGCCGTGCTCAATGTCCATTGTCTGGTACACATGTTGGAGGCGATCCCACAGAGCGCAGAGAGACAGCTTCTTGTGTATCCCGGACTTTTTCGCCACCCAGAACATGCCCTCGGTGCGCTGCGTGGCAACCATGCCCAGCGTGAGCGCTGTCGGCCGGCAGGAGAAGGTCTACTTCGTTTTCTCCCTTCACAGCACCAGTACGAGATCAACATTTTCCGACGAAAAGACTGAGCATAGCAAACGTCTGTGGCTACCTCTGCTACGGAGCAGGTGCAGCAAGTTCGCATGGCTGTTACGCAGCATGACTCGCGCGCTTGATCTCATATACGGCACCATTGCTTACTCGAGAAGGTCCCGGATGTACTGGTCGCACTTCTTGCCCCTGACGGTCCTCTCCAGGTCAGCCCGGTACGTAGCGGAGGCCTGCAACGAACGTACGATCGAGGTGGCCGAGGTTAAATCACCCGCTCACTTAATCGGGGCAGAAGCGGCAATGCAGAACATGAAGAACGCAAGATAAGAAGCAACTGCAGCCCACACTAATCTCACCTCCGGCGTAGCGGCGTACGCAGCGCTTCTGAATAGACGGAGCATCTTCTCCCGTGTCTTCGTGTCAGAAAAGGACGAGGAACAGTGCTTGACCACGTTCTTGTTGAGATGCCACAAGCACCACAGGTGCACGGTGGTCTTCCACTCCCTCAAGGCCGCGGCCATGGCCTGGTCGGCGTCGGTCAGCATGACCTATACGAATCCGGCACGAACGAAGAGACGGAGCCACACACGCCCCCACAACATTATTTCATTGGCATATCGTGTAGGGGAAGTACTAAGTCGGCGTAGACACAAGGAGGTGCGAATGGACGACATGTGATACGCGTTGTCGACTCCATCCGTGGGTTTGACGCCAGCCGCCGTCCACTTGCGGACGTCATCGAATCTCTCGTCGACCACTGTGGGCCGCAGGACTTTAGCCTGGGCCCTTGAGACGCTCCCCCGGGAATTGTGGTTGTGCTTGCAGAAGGACTAGCGCGCACGATCAGATCAGAAACGAACGTTAAACGCACAAGAACCGCCCCAAAAAACGGCAAAAAAGGCACAGGGAAAGTCAAGGTCGGCAACAACGCCCGTCGGAACAGGGAAAACGGGATTTCCTGACGGCAGCGACGAGACTTGCCATCATCACGCACGGCTCAAGTAGATATTTCGTGTGGCCTGAGGGTTGGTATTTGGATACGCAGAGAGGCACTCGCTTAGCATGCACACGAGCATGTCGAACGAACGACCGTCACATCAAAAGAAAATCAGAAAATACGGCAAAAGAATTACTCGTTCGAGTACAAAAACATGAAGTAACGGATGACGACACCACAAAAAACGAAACGAAACGAATAAACGACAATAAAAGAACGAAAAAAGAACGGCGGCAATTTCCCGAAGAAGAAAACACGTCAACCACGAAGACAGGTACCCCATATAGGTCACGAAGCCGTCACAGCGGCAGCAAATAAGGGCGAGGTACGATACGAGCTCAAAGGCTACCCCGAGTTCCCATCCTCACCGACATTATGGTGGGATTAGTCGCCCCAACTCGCCACGTCATGTGGATCTTGAAAGGGCACTTGATCTGCAACACCAACAGTCACAGGACATGCGTCGCAAGAGATGTGGGTATCCCGCGACGCGTGTTGAAACGGGGCCGACGCACTCTCCCGCGAAAATCTCGCAGCGAACTCCGGCTCTGAACATCAACAGCCTCAGACTATGTTACGCACCATGTTACTCTTCCGCATCCTCTTCTGCTTCCCCACTTGGGGCGCACGCCTACGCGCCACCCCCGAGTGTTTGCAGACGGTTTCGCAGAGGTAGTGCCTGCTCTTGTCGGTCGTCTGCGGACACACAGACCGGAAGGCAAAACAATTTCGTTGGGAACGCATTGGGAAACGTAGGTTGACACGCGAATGATTCCACCAGCTCGTTTCAGAGTTAAGACGTGACATCGTGACTTCCCTTGGCCATACAATGAACCGCCGTGCAATCGAAACACCAGATCTGTTCAACTCACCAACTTGCGTCTCTTCTTTTGAGTGGTTAGATGCCCTTCTTCTTCGAGCTCTCCGACCGTGGCGAATGCGGCCTCCCACATGTCGTAGGCTGACTCCTTCACGTCGAATGCGCGGCCAAGGTGCGCAATTCCTCCGTCATCAACGTCCCCCCACAGCCCAGTTTCCTCGTCCGTGACTTCGTCCGTTTCACTATCCGCCCCTTTGCCCTTGCTCTTACCGCTGGCACGTTCCTGCTCCTGCATACACCACGCATCAAAGGACCGCGAGATTGCGCAGTCCAATCATAAGCCGACCAAATACGTTGTCGGGACTGGTATTGCCTAGTCCATTCCGAGTGCAAACGTTCGGGCCGCCGCAACCGGGGCTTACCTTCTTGATCACCTTCTTGATCCCGCCTTGTTGGTCGTCTTCATCATTGCTGTCGGCTTCGTCATCGCGGTCATCATCGCGGTCGTCTACATCATCGCGGTCGTCTACATCATCGTGATCGTCTTCATCATCGTGATCGTCTTCATAGTCGGAGGCAAGGTCTTCATAATCGGAGGCAAGATCGTCGGAATCCTCGTCTTCATCAGGGTCGCCCACCTTCTTCCTCTGCACACCAACAAAGCGGGGAAATGGACACAACCACAAAGCCATCAACAATGGTCGACAGCATTCCCCCTCCCCCTTGCGTCGAAACAAGACGCACTCGGATGACAACGGGTGTATCATACGGCATCGCAGCGGCATTACCGTGTGCCTCCATCACTTGCCATTCAAAGTTGGTGACCGTAGCAAGCCTGTCTCACCTTTTGTCGTTGCCTCGTTGACCTCCGCTCGATTTCCCGTCCGGATCCTCATCGTCGGTAAAGCGCCCGCCCTTTCTGCTGCTCCCCTGCTGCTCCCCTTCGCTGTTTCCTTTTCACGCTCCGACCTTTTCTGCCCATCTGACTTCCTGCCCTCCCTGCCCTCCCCGGGCTCCGACCCCTCATCCACTCCCGACCTGCCTTTCTTGTCGGCCCCGCCCCGCCCTCCCGACTTCCTGGGAGCACCCGCACTGCTCTTGTCTACCTCCCTCGCATGCTTCACGTCAATCTCCACATTGCGAGCGGACACCGTTGACACCGTACACTCCGTGTCCATGAGGGCGTCATACGATACGATCTTGTCTTCTTCGTCTGCATTGACCCTCATGACTGTCCCCCATGCCGGGCTAGGTGTCCATGCTCCTGTGTGAAGGCGAGTACCCACGCCAATCTCGAAGAATCCCTGCGAGGATGGCGCATGCATGCAGCAACAGGCGGTGTTTCGCATCGGGGGACGGACTTCGTACGAGCACGCACGAACGCTGATCGTTCCTTCAGTGCGTATCCTCAGGGCTGGCGTCGCTGACTCGAAGGGGGGGGAGCGACGAAGAGAAGAAGTCTTGGGCTTGCAATACAACACGAAAATTCGAAATTATAGTCGTCACCGTGTAAAATCACCGTTGTACAATAGCCAAAGAGAGGAGGATCGTCTACACACACAACACAAACAGGTATCGGGCACATCAACAAGTACATGCCGATGTCAGATACCGTTCTGGTGTCCTCCTTATAGAAATGTACACAAGCGTCTACGCAGCACGCCCATCCGTTATTTCGTTATTTTATCCTTTTTTTGTCGTTTACTCACAATATTGACTTCTTCTGTCGTCAGCCCCACTGGCCCCCATCCTCCACTACGACAACCTAGACGACCGAACCGGGGTCACACAGGATGGGGGGGGGGTCCCCTCCCTGCGGTAAGGGTGGATTCGCAAGCTGCAAGCGCTCCGATTTATGCCGTTTATTATACTCGATGAAGCCGTTACCACTTCACGTAACGGGGGGGCACTGATGAACCTTCCACTCACCCTCCCCTCTCGAGCGAGTGCGGGCCGCTGAAACCGATGAGATTTCTTTCGTAGTTGACGGATCTCCATATCCGTTGTCCCGCCGCAGTCCCCTGCCGGCGCACCCGTTGAAAGCCCGCCCTTGGTCGCCTGCCGTTTGCCCCCCTCGGACACGTCGTCGCCACCCTTGCCGGTTCCTCCACGCGGCTGCTCTGGGCCGCATGTTCCACCCTCCCTGCCCTTCTCGTGGTCCATGGTGTCTTGTCCATGTCCAGTGCCATCTCCACCACCCCCACTTTGTTGGGTTCCACCCGTTTCGCCAGGCTTGTGCTTGTCGTGGTCGCTGCCGGCTAGCCTGCCGCTTCAGCGCCATTGTAACCTCGGTTACTCCTGCAGTTTAGACTGTTCCACTCTAGCTGTAACCTCGGTTACTGCTGCAGTCTCGACTGGCACCTGCTAGATACCTACCCATTAGCTAGCTAACTGTCGCTTCGGCGCCATTGTAACCTCGGTTACTCCTGCAGTTTAGACTGTTCGACCTGCTACAGTATCTTGAATACCTCGGTGCCCCCCCCCCCCTCCACGCTTCCTTCCATCCACGATCATGCTGGTACAGCAGTCACAACCCTAGTCGAGAAGACGCGGCCAACACCGGCCGACTCTCGGACATCATCTCCGGCTTCGACATCATGGACGACACTAAACCGACGACAACCACGGACTTCAAGCCCCGAGACGATGGGAGCTGAGCGACCTCTCTCTTCGCCGGCCGGGTGTTCCGCTGCTGCTGGAGGCGCGATTTCACGTACGAAGGAGGGACTTTCAGGAGGATGGGACGCCGCAGCCGGTGGTGTCTGATGAGCCCACGCTTGCAGTACCTTTACTACCAGGTGCTGCTGGAGTTGCATGTAGAGGGACCTCTTGGGACAATTGGAAGATGGCGCCGGCGGTGGATTCCAGGCAAGTTGTGTATTCACTCGTACCCGCGGCTACAGATGATGATGGAGCATTTGTTTTTTGCGGGATCATTTTGTTCGGCTTCGGCCCCTATTTCGGCTTCGGCCTCTGCATTGGCTTCGGCCTCTGCTTCGGCTTCGGACCTCCACTTTTCTTTGGACATTCGGGTTGCGTTTTCGAACATTCCCCGGCTTCTGCCCCACCTATTTCTTCGGAAACTACTGCAACCCTATTTTTTCTACTGCTCATCATGCCTTAGGTTCAGGAACAGTGCAGAACCCTGGGTTTTCGAACCCACCTTCCTCTTCGGCGTTTGTACCACCTGTGCCGGGTGTTCCGCATGGTGTATTATCTTCGGACCATGCTTCCCCTGCTGCTTCGGTAGCTGCTGTCCCACCCCCTTTTTTTACCGATGATCGTGTTTTGCCACTTTCTTCGATCATCGCACATGTTCGTCAATCCTCGATAGATGCGACTGATGCTACTGCTCGTGCTGCTCATGTCAACACAGTGCCACGCGAGTACAATAAATTCGAGAATGTCGCTACCATGCTCTTTCCCACAACTCTGTTGCCGGGAGATGGCTATCAGCAGCTTATCCGCACAACACGCGCGGCCATGTCCGACATTTTGTTGCTGTGTGAATCGAAGAGTGTTGAGTTGAACAGCTCTGATTTCGTTCGTGGATGGGAACGTCCTCTCGAAAAAAAAACTCTTGAGTGCGATCACCCCTGACAAGCCCTCTACCGCCGATCTCGTCCTTGCCATTACGGATTACTTTCAGCTAATGAAACGGAGCTTGGATGGAGAAATCCCTGGACCAGACGCTTTTCAGCAACTGTTGCGCCACCTGGCGGAGCAATTTGACGTCGGAGACCGCCAAGAGTCGTTTTTGCGGCTGCAACAATTTGATGTAGCAGATGATACTCCTTTCGCGGATTATCTTCGGGCTTTCCGCTTGTCAGTTTCGTCTGTGACTTGTTCTGAGCGTACTTTGGCCCCTAGTGTATCGATTGTTCTCGAAATAGTGCGAAACTCGGTCGACAAGCAATTTCCGAGTCTGTCTCCGCTTTTGTACCCGGGTGCTTTGGCCACTGCGGTCACTCCCTTTGAGTCAATTGCAGTTATGTGGGAGGCGTTCGCGCCTTTGGCGACTAATAACACCCCGGCTACCGGTGGTTCATCTTATTTCTCGTTGAATTCGACGCGTGGCTCTCCGCAGCCTCGGCGGTCTAACCATCGCGCCCCTGCGTCTTCGGGCCAGTGGGCATCCGGCTCCGCCCAGAACCCTGTAGTTTTGCCCATGCAACCTCAAGTCGCGGATCCTTTCACGCACAATTACAACTCATGGCCTGCTTCGCAAGCCGACTGGTCTGATGTATACGCCCTCACCGCTAATTTTCGTAACACCGATGATCCTTTTTTATGGACTCCTTTGTTGACACAAGCGGCTCGATCCCAAGCCTTCCGCGAAAACAGAAACCGCTGCCTGAAGTGCTCGGGTGACGACCATTTCATGAAGCAATGTGCTTCTCCCTTGACGAATTCTAGTGGGTTGTTGAATCCCGAGTTGGGTCACCTCAATGACGACTCTGCTGTTTAGTAGGCGTTGGCAAGGCCGCATGCGATCCTTCAGGCGTAAGGGTTCAGATGGCCGCAATAACAATCAGGGTANCCGGCAGTCTTTTTCCGCCTCCTCTCAGCGCAGAAACCACGCTGGGCCTCACCGTTCCGACGGTGGTAGTTCCTCTCACAACCACCACCAACAATCACACCACGGTGGTCATACCGCGGGATATTCCGCGGGTAACCATCATCATACACAACAGACGTCTGGCAACACCCACGACACTAGTGCTCTGTCCGTCTATCAACCCCAATCGCATGCTCAAACTGGCCCCTCGTCTGGCGTCATGGTTTCGACCAATCACAACGCACGCCAACCTGGTAACTTCCACAATGGCTGCCGTTCACGCACCGGATGACTCCCCGACGGTGGTTCGCTTCCTTCCCTCGGACCGCCTCCAGCATCTTTGGGAACTCCGTCTCGCTCAACACAAGACGCTAATGTATCACCCTCAGTTGCCTCTAGCACTCCGGTCTTAAGCAACGGCAACAAAACTTCGGTAAATGTTCTCCCTACGCGCTCTGTTGCCTCTAGCACTTCGGTCCTTAGCAACCACAACAGTACTTCGGTAATGTTCTCCCTACGCGCTCTCGCACTTCGGTGCTATCCAATGACACCGGTACTCTGGTACACGCTGTTTCTTCAAGTGTCGATCAGGTCGGAATTCAGCCAAATGCTCACATCCCACCTTCGCCATCGCACATATCGTCTGCAACCTCTGCATCCTCGCCTCGTCGGATTGCTGCTTCGTCGGAAACTAACCAGTCTGACGTGATTGCTGTCTTGAGGTGTGGGAACAGACCCGTTGGACCTTCGGGACCAAAGAGTTCTCCTCGTTCGTCGAGCACCTCTCGTTCGCTCCCCCCGTCGTCTTCAGATAGGATCGACAGTAGCCATGACCTTTGGACGATTGATGAAGAATGGTCCGAATTGATTGCCTCAGGTGCTTCTTCGGATACGCTCAATTCGTCTATGCTCGCTTCCGTTGAAGGTCCGCCCTCGACTGTTGCACCGATAGCTAACTTGACTGGTTCCGACCGGCAAGTTTTAGGGTCAAATTCGTCTGGCTTCGAGTCGCTTTATCCCCCTGGTTCCGACCACCGGACACCCTCAGATTCCGCCACGCGACATTTCGACCGTGGGTCGTTTTTACAAGCCCCACCTTCTCCGACGCACGCTCGCACAACGGCACCCACTTCTAGGCTGCTGCGACCGACGTCGACAGTGTTGACACCACCGCTTCGGGAGGACGCCCCGGAAGTGACCTCCGAACAGCCGGCGGTCTCGCGTACCTTGTCACGGGGGAATAGCCAGGAGCGCCATGCTCGGTTCCGTTCTTCAACTAACCCGGCTTTGGCAGCCGTTCCCAGCGAAAGCACATGTTGCCGAACACCTTACGAGGCGTTTCTTCAGGTTTAGAATTGGGGTGCACCCAGCCCAGTGTTGCTGGCCCAATTCATGCGAACAATCCGACTCAAGTCGATTCTTCGTCGGTTCCCGCTGTTACAAGGACCACCCCAATGGATATTCATACTGTCCATCATGACTCCGCATCTTCGGCTGTGACTCCAGCTTCGACTAGCAGCACTCAGGGCGCTCCCGCCTCTGTTGCTCCGGCCGTTTTCGACCCGTCTACCGAGTGTTGTACTCCAGACATGGTTTTATTTTGGAAGCCGCCCTGCCCTTTTTCCCAATGGACACCGTCGACCTTCACGGTCGATGGCGTTGTTTACTCGTGTGCCGAACAACTTTTCGCTGCAGAAAAGGCCCGTCTTTTCGGAGATCGCTGTGCACAATGTCATGCGAGTGTCAGCCCTGCCTTACACAAAACGTTTGGCCGTGATGTCCATGGTTTCGACCAATCTATTTGGGAACAAGAACGCGAAAATATTGTGCTCACTGGCTCTTACGCAAAATTTAGTCAAAATTCCGAGTTACGAAATCATCTCCTCGGATCTGGTGACAAAATCCTTACCGAAGCGAGTCCTTACGACCGTGTTTGGGGCATTGGCCTCCAGACCGCTCATCCTGACGCTGGATGCACATCTAGATGGCGCGGCCTCAACCTGTTAGGCACCGCCCTACAGAACGTACGCAGTCTTTAACGACACCGTGCCCCGCCTCCCGAGCGCAGCTCTTGTCTGCTGCCCCCGACCGACCACGTTCCGACGTCGTCCCTTCATTCTGCGGTGTATTAAGTTAACCCTTCCACACACCAGCGCTTTCGGACGGCTTCGTGCCCTCCATCGACCGACCGGTTCGCGTCATTTTCGCAATACGCTCCGAATGTCCCGTCGGATCACGACACCGCCGTTTGGGCCGTGTCTTCAGAATACATCCCGTCGTCCTCCTCCTCGCTCCCAGAGCAAGGTCAGGATTTGGTTGGTGGTGTTGTCACCGTCGATGACGACTCTTTCACCACCAGAATCCTCCTCCACAGCGGTTCGGCCTCTGTGCAGTTTGGGTGTATCGCTCTTTTGGACACGGGTTCTCCGCAGTCTTTTAGTGGTGCTTCTGCATGTGAATCCATGAAAGCAGCTTCGGCTGCTTCAACGTTGTCTGAAAAACACACCCAACCTCGCTGTTGGGGTGGTTTTGGGAAATCTGCGCCGCTTCAAACTTCGACTATTGTCCGTTTGAGTGTTCAGTTTCTCCGTTGAAACCTTCCTACTTCCTCTCCTGCTGTTTGGGCATACGTTGTTCCTGACGGCGTCATGCATCATGACGTGCTCCTCGGCAGAGATAGTTGGATGCGGTTTAGTGACCGTTCTTACTGCACGTTGCGTGCGAACCATTCTGGTGACCATGTCTTCTGTGAGCTTACTTTATCCCAACATGACACTTGTGGTGCCACTGCATTTGCTCACGATCTGTCCCCAACGGATGGAAGTTACCAGCTTCGCTATGCAGGCAAACATTCCGTTCAACTTCACCCAGAGCATAGCCTCATTGAGGTCAATTTGATACGCAATGATGGCTCGCCTGCCCTTGTGGGTAACTCTTTGGTGGATATGCTTCCCCAATGTGCTATGTTCTCTTCCGAGGAACAATTTGTGCAAAATGGTTTCCAAAGAATCCCTCTTGCGGGCATCTCGTCTCTCGAACCCGGCGACGTTCTGGGTACAGCTTCGGCTCCCCTTCTTTGCCTGCCTCTTCGCGCTGTCTTTCGCCACAGTTTGAGCGATGGTCTTAAAACTGCGGCTTCAGAATCCACCGCTGCTTCAGACAGCTGGGTCCCTGGTCCTGTTTCTGCAGGTGGCGTTGATTCGTCTGCCACGCACTCCGTCTCTGACCCCTTTGTGTATAATTTGCACGAGGGACCCGTCCCGTCGCCAAGCGACCGAGGGGACTTCGGTTCCGCCAGTTCTTCCCCTTCGTCGCCTTCGCCTGCTCTTCTCGAGCGGTTGACGCCAGAACAGCGTCAAAATTTCTCCCAAGTCTGGGATAAGCTCCCCTGCNACTCGTTGTGTATAATTTGCACGAGCGACCCGTCCCGTCGCCAAGCGACCGAGGGGACTTTGGTTCCGCCAGTTCTTCCTCTTCGTCGCCTTCGCCTGCTCTTCTCGAGCGGTTGACGCCAGAACAGCGTCAAAGTTTCTCCCAAGTCTGGGATAAGCTCCCCTGCCATCTCCGTGAGATTACTTTTGATCTCTACCGCCCGGGTTCGACTCCCGATGTCATTACTTAGCTTGATAACGTTTTGTGCGAATACCATGATGTGTTTTCGAGTTCTCCGACCGAGATTGGATTTTTGTTCGCTTTTTCCTTTTAAGCTCACAGTTCCTCCTGGCAGCGCACCCGTCACGTCTAGCCCCTACCGCTTTGATCCCCCGGTGGCGAAACAAGTTGACGCGATCCTTGACCAATATCTTGCGGCAGGTTTGATCCAACATTCGACCTCGCCTTACTCGAGCCCTTTGGTAGTCATACCGAAGAAATCTGGTGGTGTTCGCATCACCGTCAATTGTCGCAACTCAACAAGCTTTGTGCTTTGAGTCAGCTTCCGATTCCTCGCGTCGATGATACTTTGGACACGTTGTTGAAAGAGCGAATTTGCTCCCTTTTCGACATGAAATCTTCGTTCCACCAAATCACGGTGCACCGCGNCAACTCAACAAGCTTTGTGCTTTGAGTCAGCTTCCGATTCCTCGCGTCGATGATACTTTGGACACGTTGTTGAAAGAGCGAATTTGCTCCCTTTTCGACATGAAATCTTCGTTCCACCAAATCACGGTGCACCGCGATACAATCCCTTTGACGGCATTCGTGACGTCTTCCGGGCTTTTCGAGTGGTTGAAGATGCCTCAAGGCAGTTCGGCTGCCCCTGGGTGGTTTTGCAAAGTTGTCAAAGAAGTCATCAAAAATCTCCGCGGTGTTGCATCGTACTGGGGTGATTTGATCGTCTTTGATGACACCCCTGCTACTCATGTTGGTACCATGCGCGCACTCTTTGAACGCTTGCATACGCACAACTTGAAACTCACGCGTCCGAACGCTACTATTGGCGCTACTGAAGCAGACTTCCTCGGACACCATCTCCCCCGACGGCGTTAGGCCTAACGGTGCTAAGGTTTCGGCCCTCACGAATATGCTTATGCCCAAGGATGTCAAGCAACTACGTTCCCTTCTTGGTGGTCTCAGCTACTACCGTAAGTTCCTCCCCAACATGGCTAAACACATTCGACCTCTGACTACTCTACTCAAGAAACAGGAGAAGTTTATCTTCACCCCTTCCATGGAGCAAGCCGTTCGCGTTTTTTTAGCTGAGTTGGCCAATCCCCCTGTTTTGGTTTATCCAGATTAGGATGCCGTTTCAGACGGCTCGCGACCTTTTCATCTTTACTGTGATGCTAGTCGCGATGGGTGTGGTGGGACTCTCGAACAAGAACAGCCAGAAGGTTCCATTCGCCCAATTGTCTTCATCAGTCGGGCTACTTTGGACTCAGAACGTCACTGGACTCCCCTCGATTTCGAGGCGGGTAGCATCGTGTGGTGTATCAAGCGCCTTCGCGGTTACTTGTGGGGTACGAAATTTCGCATTTTTACCGACCACAAATCTCTCGAGCATTTTGCTAAGGTGGGGGAGAACAATGCCCGCGTTCAGCGCTGGCTGGAATTTCTTACCGCCTACAATTACACTCTCGAGTATCGCAAGGGTTCCCCGCAAATGGCAAGGCTGATTTCCTCTCACGCCTCCCAGTCGCTGCGGCTGAATGCGCCCGTTCGGGTCGCAGCCGTCTGACCCCGGCTGAGGATAACGAGGCGGTGTTTTTCATCCGTTCGTGTGCCCTTCCCCCTTCCGGTGATCGGGCCGCGGGTATTGGCTTGGGTGGGCTAGTTCCTAATTCCCCGACTTCGGTCTTGGGTGGGCTTGCCCCCTGTACGGCTGACTTCGCTATTTCCGTCCGCACGGTCCGCGTCTACCGCCATCAGGCCTCTTGTCTTCATCGGGCGTTTGGAACGTCGCTTCCTTGTCGCCCAAGATCGCTCCCTTGCCGTCCGAGATGTTCCGCCGTTCGGCACGGTCGCACTTTCGCAATCGACCTCCCATCGTTTGGCCCGGTTCCCTACCTCAGTCTTTCGATGATGTCTTGGCTCTCGAGCCCGAGCCTCCGTTTGCCATTCCGGCCCTTGGAACTCTGCGTCGGACCCTCGACCCCACCCAAGTGATCTCCACCAGGACTCGTCGTCGCAAGGCAGCTGTGGCAGGCACGCCACTCCCCCCTGTTGATTATGGTTTTTCTGACGATGAGCCTTCTTTGTCTCCCACGCGGATTTCCGCTCCCTCTAGACCCTTTCAGCGGTCTCCGACGGCGCCTTCGTCACCGTCGATGACACCAGCCTTGCCCAGTTGGGTTTCGACTACTGGTGCTGGTGGTTTATCCTCGACTCCCTCCGCGCCTCTGGCTCATGGAGTGGAGCCTGCGTCTCCGACGCCTACCACAACTGCGGTTGTTCCTGCTTTGCAGCCTTCTGCAGCCCCCGGCTCTTCGGAGTCTTGTCGCGTTTGGTGTCATCCGCTCGCGCAAATTCGCCTTCGGCTTTCATTGCTGCTCTATCCTCGGATGGGTTGCAGTCGACGCCTCGCGAATCAGCCCCTTCTTCTATGGAGGCGGCTTTGCATTCTTCGCCGGATCTAGCCTTCCGGGCGTCCGTCGAACGTTTCCGCATGCTGGGCTCGCGAGCAACGTAACGAACCTGTGTGACGCAGCCATTCGTTTCATCCTTCTGAGTCGGCCTTCGTTCCTCCCTTCGGATTTCTTGGACCGTGTTCCGTCCGTTCGTCGACCCTCTCTTTCGGAGATTCGTGACCTGCCCAACAAAGGCCGGTTGCATGTTCACGATGATGGTTTGGTCTTGCTTTGTTCGCAAGCAAACAGCGACCCCGTCGTCCACTACCACGCGTCCTGGCGGACGTGCTGCTCGCCTTCTTAACGATGAACCCTTTCGGATTTATGTTCCCATGCTCATGCGTCCGTGGATCATGCAAGTTTGCCACGCTGATGCGTCCTGTCACCTCGGTGCGGCTCGCACGCTTAGCATGCTGGAACGCTTCTATTGGTGGATTGGCATGAGTGTTTGTACGAAATGGTGGGTGCGGCATTGTTTGCGATGCCATGCCCGTAATTCGTCTCGTCAGACTCCTCGGTGGCCGACCATGTCCCTTCCTTTGCCTTCGGCCCCTGGTGTGTCGGTGAGTGTTGACTATTTTGGCCCACTTCCGTTGACACCGCGTGGCAACACATACATTCTGCTCTTTACAGACCGTTTCAGCCGCCGTGCTGATATGTACGCGGTTACGGCTGCAGAATTCACCGTCGAAGGCACCGCTGACATCCTTGTCAACAGGTATTTCCCTTTGTGGGGTTGCCCGTTTTGTCTGACAACGGCTCTCAGTTTTGCTCTAAACTGTCCCAAGCCGTGTATGCCCGTCTTGCTATCCGCAATGTGACTACTAGCTCGTACCATCCGAATGGAAATGGGGGTGTGGAGCGTGTCAACCACACGATGGCTCAGATGTTGGCTATGGTCGTCAACGAACAACAAGATGATTGGGACATTCATCTCCACACGTCGCGTTTGTTTACAACAATTCCGTTAGCGCCGCTACCGGTTTAGCGCCCAATGAGGTGCATATGAATCGCTTGCCTCGTTTACCGATGACTGTTCTTGAGCATCCTTACGCTCGTGGCCACCAAAGCTTGCATCGTGATCAACTCGAATATTGCGGTCTTGCTGCTGATCGCCAACGTCGTTCTTACGACTTGGTGCGTGAACAGCATAACCTGTCCGTTTCGCGGATTGAGCGGCGTAATTCCACTCTATCGGACGCTTTCCATGAGCTTCCTTCTTACACTGTTGGTGAATGGGTTTGGGTGTACAACTCCGAATCTGCCATTCGACAAGGCGTTCGTTCAGGCACAGATGATAAGGTCCTCAAAGCCAAGTTATCTCTACTCTGGACTGGCCCCTTCAAAATCTTGGCTGTGGGCGCATGTTCTGACAGCCCTGACGGTCGTCCTTTGGCTTCCAAGTTGCTTTACTTAGATCTTCTTTCGGACCTGCCGGGCCAAGACTCGAAACCTCGTGTTTCGGTTGTGCGTTNGCATGTTCTGACAGCCCTGACGGTCGTCCTTTGGCTTCCAAGTTGCTTTACTTAGATCTTCTTTCGGACCTGCCGGGCCAAGACTCGAAACCTCGTGTTTCGGTTGTGCGTTTGAAGCCTTGCGCCAACCAGGATGACACCGATGACCTACCGCGCTTTCTGCCTGCTGGTCTTACTCTGCACGTCCTGAACTCTTATGCGAACAAATCTCCCTACCACGTTACGGAAGACGACGTGTCGACTCCGGTTGAACGTTTAGAGGTTGAACGTATTAATGACCACCAGTCCGTCCGTGGCCGTGGGGGCACGATGGCTGTCTTATCTCAGACACATTGGCAGGGCCTTCTGCGCCCTTCTTGGGAGCGTGAGATGGACCTGCAGCATTCCAAGTCGCACATTCTCCGGTACTGGGCAGGTCCGCCTGATCAACATTGTCAAACAAATCGCCGTTATCGTGCGATGCGCATTGGGGCCGCTACCAGGGAATCGGCGCGTGCTCAAGGTGCGCGAGCTTTGCCTTCGGGCTACTCGCTTGTTTCCCGTTCAACGTGGGACCGTCGCTTCGCCAACACTCCTCTACCTGTGGGCGCCTGCTTCTGGTACAAGGCATGAGATGGACTCTGGTGGTTGGGCAAGATTTCTGGACCACCTCTGCCGTCCGACTTCTACGTCGTCCGCTTCTTGGACGATCCTGGACCTGTCAAACTCGCCCTTCCCGATGTTCGCTACTGTACCGCGAAACCGCCGTCTCCGGATCCTGGTGCCTCCAAGTACAAAGCGGCAGCGCCCTATTCAAGGGTGTTCTTCGCAACATCAACAGACCTGCCAAGCTCGCCCTTCCCGATGTTCGCTACTGTACCGCGACACCGCCGTCTCCGGATCCTGGTGCCTCCAAGTACACAGCGGCAGCGCCCTATTCATGGGTGTTCTTCGCAACATCAACATGTCGCGTGGCGACGTTGTGACAGATTCGTTGTCTGATGACGTCGCGCGCCCACATTATGATGGCATGCTTGGTTGTTTTTGCCTTCTGTTGCTCTTGCAATAGCATTATTTGTTTTCGTTTTCTCGTTTTCTTTCTGTTGGCTTCAATAGTCCGCGAGGTCGAGCTTTCTCTGTTCCCTGCTGAGGTTTTTCCAGCTGTTGTTTGGTGTGACGACCCCTCTTCTTCGTGGCTTCGCTTCCGAAACGTTGGTTTCCGGCCTTGTTGGTACGTTGTGGTGCTTTTGTACATTTTCTTTTAATTTTGTCGCTACTTCTTAGAGTTTGCGGGCTGAAGGTGTTTCGTGACCTTGTTGTCGCTCCCACGCTACCGTGGTGATTATTTGACGTATCTTATCGTTTTGTCGATACAGGCCTTTTTTTTCACCGTTCCTTTTTCGTCGCTCCGGCGACGCTTATTTTGTTCGTTTCTTTCGTGTCCTCTTTTCCACTTTCTTTTGGGTCCTGACCTGTTATGGTATTTGTAGCCTTCGTCTGTTGCGGCTCTCCCGTTGGTTTTCTCTCTGCTAGCCCCAGTTTATTACTTCCTGTACCTTCTTTTTATAGGTCAAACGATGGTCTTGCGACTCATCGAGTGAGAAGTGTGGGAGGGTGAATTGTGGTATTTTGGAGCTCCGCATCCTCGATACTCTCGTTTGGGATTCGACAAGTAATTGTTAAGTTCCGAGATGTACGTATCTGCGTATGAGAACCTCCAGGGTGGGCTAGGGTCCTGCCGACGACGCCAAGTGTAACGGATATGCACGCGCGGTGCAATCTGGGAGACCCGTGAAGACGAACTCACTTGTTATTAACTCGTGTGGAACAGCTGCAGTAGCTGTTGCCAAGGGAAGGTAGAGGACTGTCTAGAATGGGACCAGGATCAGCTGCTCAAGCAGGGGCTACTAGATCCTGTCCCCTGTTTTGTCCTTCCGTGGGGAGTTGCATCTCCCGCAGTTTCCTCTGGGCATTAGCCCGCACTACCGTTTGTACTTTCCTACACATTTGAATCCCATAACACCAGACCTCGCGACCAAGATTAACGCGAATTCTTGGGGTGTTTTTCAATAACCTCCACTAGCTCTGTGTGGGATCCCGCGCGCGCACTGAAAAAAGCACCCAAAAATGTCGAAACCCCGGGGAATTTGTCAGAATTTCCCCGTCCAGGGATATATGAGGCCCATCCCCCCCCCGCGACCAATATTGCAACGTAGCCCAGGGGGGGGTGTTCCGACGTTTCCAGATGGAGGGCCCCTTGCAGAAAAACTTCGTGGTGCTCGTTGATTTCCCCGCATGCCTGCTTTTTTCCGATTCCAACACTCCTCCACAAACCACAGATTCCAATACGTACTGTCGGGGGTTCGGGGAGCGCTGACTCTCCCTTCACGAAATGTGTTGATGCCAAGGGTATTGTTGTGGTAGGGTTGAAGCCCTGTAGATTTGCAATTGGGAAGGTGTACCGATTCAGGTTAAAGTCAATCGACGGATACCCTGCGAATCGGGTCCTCCGTAACACTCTCCACCCACAGAATTTACCCTCAACTGGCAACCTCTTGTGGCCAGGATGGGTAATTCGATGGAAGTGTCACAAGGTTCTTTGTAGGATCGACGCCAAGAGGTGTTCTCAGGACAGACACACATTGTGTCCATGGGAAAATGTCCAAGTCAGGAGAAAAAGTGTGCACCCAAGGCGATTCGAACCAGTATCCTGCCGCTGACGCCATGTGCAAAGGTGTACCGATTGAGGTAAAAGTCAATCGACAGATACCCTGCGAATCGGGTCCTCCTTTAACACAATCAAAATGTTGTCCTTAACGGTCCATGGATGCACCAAGACAGGAGGAAGACTCCTGGTTTGGGTCAAGACTGACGTCGTATGCGTGCCTCTTCATCTACACACACGTCAGTTCCCACAAATCATCCTCCTATCGAACTTGACTCTGCTAACAGCCAATACTTTTGTTCCGACAAATCTAAGATTCAATTATCTCAAAGACCTGTGGTTCAATCACCTCAAACTCGTACACCGATATTTATGTTCGTGGGCCCGGTTTATTTGTAGCGGTTCTCTGTGTAGCGGGATGCCCTGAATAGCGGTTATGAAATCTCGTGACACGTCTGCACCCCGGTTTGGAGGTCATACAACCGCTAATAAACCGGTCGTGCCCTCAATAGCGGTGATTGGGCATGTTTTCAGCCACCAACAGCGGCTATAAGTTCAACTATTGCGTCAACACCTAGGGTGTGCTTCGCTTGCGTATACTCACAGACGGGTTGACGTGGTCGATGCGCCCACAGAGAGACACGCACACATTGGTCAGCCGGTTAGCGCGGTCGATGCTACTGTAATAATAATAAACCACATGCACACCCAAACGACTCAGGGATAGAGAAAAATGGCCGAAAAATAGCCGTGAGAACGACGATGAGAGTGATGGTGAAAGCAGGGAGGATGATGGTGAAGGCACTCCAAAACGAACTCGAGTGCAAGGTAGCAGCCTTGGTAGACGCACGTGCATTTTTCCTCTGTCGCTACCGTTTCTGTGTTTAATCCGGATAACAACTTAGCCTCCCCCATGCCGCCCCCTCACGGGGTCCCAGTTGATGACATTTAGAAGTGTTTTGTGTTTTCAACCGCACAGAGACTTGCAGAGACTGACGTCGTTTGATTGCTCAGCCGGTTGGAGTGGGCGATGCCAACAACAAAGACACACACACCATGCGGTGCGTGGACGAAGAAATGTGCAAGCTTCCTGTTTCGGCACTGACTCTAAGCGGCGCGCGCGATTGTTAAGAAAGGTGGCTGTGATACCTAACCCCTCCGACGACGACCTAGAGCTAGGGCTAGATAATACGGTACAAGTTGACGGTGCGAACGGCAGAGGGTGATGGCGCCTCCGCCATACTCGGAGCTGTCGTCGGATTTCGACCAGCGTGAAGAGCGCGGAGTCGTTTGGCGTGAGCGATGCAGCACACTATCTTCGCAAGGCAAAAAGGGCGTTCACCGAAGCGCAGGCCGCTCAACCAGCACGCCAGGCAGATATCACAGAGATTGTGTTGGATTAAGAATGAACGATACGCCAGACATGGCAGAAAAGAGATGCTCAAGCACGTGGTTTGTTGCCATTGCGTTGTCATGACTTTATCTCACCTTCGTCAGAGACGCGAACGATTTTCCAGTCTTGATGAGGGGCATACAGTCCAGAAGGGAGAACAAGCTTCGTGCTTTGGCGAATTGAAAGCATTACTAATGAATGTACTTGCTGCGTTGTCCTCCTTTGGCTCGTTACTTCTCTATCTGCACCTTCGTACGGCCCTATCAAGATGAGCTATCGACGCTGCTCTTGTTGGGTAATGATGGGCTTTTTCCCGGTTTAGCGGTTCATAACCGCTACTGATGGCGCCCGCACTTAAGAACGGCTTGTGTTGGCCGAGGCTCGATGCATATTGGCTGCCTCAAATTGAGCATCTGTTCTTATTTTCAAAATTCTTCTTTCGAGCAGGCGTATCCGTATGATAAACGGGGGTATTGTTCTTACTTCTACGCCGAGGGCCCCATTCAGGGGGCACCGTTTTTTTTTCTCGGGGGATTTACCCTGAAACATAGGGACCTCTGGACCCGACGTGCCGCAGCTTCCGCGATCACCATAGGGTAGAAATACAGACGCCGCATCGCCTGGAAGTTTGACGCATCTGAGCAAACGTTGAACAAGTTAGAGGTCGACAAATACGTTCGGCGTGATTGTCCTCCCCGCTCTACACAAATGCCCGTTGTAGCCACACTGCGACCTTTCACCCTGCTCTTCGACGGCCGGACCTCCTCCCTGCTCTACGGCGCCCCCCTCAAGCAAAGTCCACGACCCTACCACCGCACCCTCATGTCCACTGTGCTTGTCCAACGGCAATTTCATGCGGCGCATACTTTGGTCTATGTAGCTCGAAATGCACACAGTAGTCGTAAAGGTGGCAGGTAGGCTCCTGAGACTGCCGAGTGATCAGCTCACCAAACCAGCCCACCCATTCTCAATTTTACTACTATTCCACGCTGCAGCAACGAAGTGTCAAGAGAAGCGACTTTAGACGCTTGAATTCGAAAACCGGTGGGTGCGACAACAAGGACGAGGTGTCGGTAAGATTTCGTCGCCCCAACGTCGACTCGATGGCCTCTCAGTCTGACTCTGCGGGCAGTTGCCAGCAATGACATGTTCTGTTATGGCCTCAAAGTGAGTGTCGATCGAGAATGACACCTCTTCCTTCCAACTTTTACCGTTGGCCGAGCTCCTTCAATTTTTCAAGGGGTAAAGACATGGCTCTCGTGCATGGCACGAAGCGTGGCAGGCACCCCAATGTCATGCGACAGCGGTATCCTTGACAACAAGGCTACCGTAATAGTCGGAGAGATGGCATCGGGTGCGATCGTTTTTTTTAAGGTGTTTTTCCTCGGGTTTTTATATCGCACCCCGGTGCCACCTCTCCGACCCCGGTGCGGGACTGCAATCAAATCAGTTCGCTCAGTATTTTCGAGGCACCCCGGTGCGATCTCTCCGACCGCTGCGATCCCCGATGAAATACACACAGGTGTTGTACGCACGCATCCCGGTGCCATCTATCTGTACTGGTATTGACATCAGCATAGAACCACGTGTAGTTACAGTTCTGGTTGCTGGTTGGAAGTAGACTGGTAATGGTACGTAGCCGCTTTCCGTGCAGCGAGTGATCTTGTGTTCGATGCGAGTTCGGCTCTGGCTTGACGACAACAAACAATGTTGTTTTCATGTGAGGTACCGGTGCATACCGTATCAGTTATCTCCCGCTTTCGTTTCGGGCTTCCTCTACGGATACCAGTAAGTACGCAGCAGAACATCCTGGTAGTCTTTTCGTGTTGTGCAAGGTGGGGTAGGGTGCGGCTTGCGCATTGTGTGTTTCGTTGAGTGTACGGTTGGCAACTTCCATACCAATTAAAAACTGAAAACAACTGGTATCCCGCGTGAAACCGCGACCATGCATACGTACATACAGGAGAGGCGCTCCGCTGATACCGTCCCCATCTGTTAAAGGTACGCAAATGTACCTCATTCCGGCAGTCGACAAGAAGCTCAATGTTGGATTTGGCGGTCGGAGAGATCGCACCCGGATTTGGGGGTCGGAGAGATCACACCCGGTGCGATATCTCCGACCCCGGTGCGTGAATCGAATTAAATCATGTCGTTCTGGTAATCTTCTGCGCACCCCGGTGACATTTCCCCGACCGGTGCCATCTCTCCGACTATTACGGTAAGCACCTCCTAACCTACCCCCCCCTTCCACACCGACCAAGGTAACATGTGAACGCGGCTCCGAGTACGAAGACCGGGTTCATGTAGTTGCGGAATGTCTGTTGTACAAGAAAGAGAGGCAGTTGTACACGACGACTGAGCTCTGGGGAAAAAGTAGTACAAGGAAAATATAGGGAGATGTTTGAGGTTGGAACAGCCAGGGGAAGGCGGTAGTTGTACTGGGGCATAGAACGTGGGTTGGAGAGGCGGAAAGGGGTATGGATAGGATAGATAGGCTAGGGTAAAACATTGTTGAGGCACCTTTGGCAAAGTAGGAAGGAGCGATTGGCCACCGATCTTCGGTCCTGTGGGAACAATGCTCCGTCCTCTCGAGGACGCGTGGTCAATGGTTTAACCGCTTAGATATGCAAACTATAAGAGTACGCCCCCTCCGCACCAGTATTGTTCGAAACGGAGTTCCCCTCCTCGCCGCTGATCTCAAACTATTGGTACGTGGGGCACCGGACACCCCATGAGGTACCCCTCACCACCATCATGAGATATTTTCATGCAGCTGTCGCGTTTTGGGGATCTGTTCTTATCTGCATGTGCATTGTTACACCACGAATGCGGGTTCTTGTTCTTACCCCCGAGTCGGAACTCAGCACGTAATCTTATGGAAAGTCTTCAAATTCTGAAATTTTCGAGGCTGAATTTCTTAACTGCCAAGTTCGTAAGTGCGAGCGCCATCTATACTGCGCCTCCTGGTATCTAGCGGTTCATGACTGCTAAAGAGGTTTTGCGACGATGCCCTGAACAGCGGTAATAGAATTTCGTGACACTATGGACCGCTACACCCGGCCCACGACTGTAGTACCGATCCATTTCGTAACCCTCCGATAATCAGATCAGCAGTGCTAACGACGTGGTCGAACGCAATGGTTGGCGGTCGGAATAGTAATTCTCGGAACATCCCACGGGTAGGAGCAGCCCAGCACGGCAACTAGCATTTCACCGTACAGCAACCCAGCGCTCTATGGTGCTGAGCAACCTCCCGTAGCCCTTATCCCTCTTGCGCCGCGGATTGGCCTAGCGCTAACCGTACAGGAGTAACCACTTTAGAACGCTAACGGTACAGCAACCTAGCGCTAACGGTGCGCAGCAACCCATCGGCTTAGACTTGGTACAGTGACCTACTGGTGGACCCGGCACAGCAAGAAAAGCAACAATTTCAGTCTTTTCGCGATATCTCGACGAGTTTTTGGCCGACAAATAAACTGAAACGTTTGAGCAAAAGCGCCGGTCCAGGCGGGTCCATTCGACGCTGTTACAAGGAGAGAACACAATTATTTTCTAAAAATCTCTCGCTCGCCGAATTCGGCTTTTCGTCAATAAAATCTCGAAAACAATTTCGCCGATGAGAAAAAAAAGTGGTACTCGTTTTTGGGCCGATCTACGCGGATGGATTCTCAAAGCACTTTGAGGGAAT